CTACACTCTTAAACTTCCATACTATTCATCATATAGATAGGGAAGAAAGGAAGGACTAAAGGAGCAAACAGTATAAACAGAGCTATGAAGGTGGAGAAAAATCATTGTGTTTGGCATCACCTTGCCGACGGCAGAGTGTGTCTGTGAAAGAGACTTGTGGGGATCTAGTGAGGAGGGCAGATTAGGTGAATGAGTTTGCATTTGACCCTGTCGGTGTTGGGGAGATATTTAAAGGCTTGTGAGGGGAGCAGTAACATTAGATTTGAGCTTTGGAATCATTAATCAGGTAGATTAGTCAAGTAAATTAATCTGGTAGATTAACCTGGTAAGGACAATGTCATGTTGATGGAAGAAAGCAGACCAGGGTCAGAGAGACTGGGAGAGATTGCCAAGGTGGAGAATAGAGAGTAGAAGAGGCCCCCAAACAGCTGATCCTACTTTGGTCACTTCTTTCCCACAGATCAGTAGTTTTCTTGGTCAGTATAAAAACTCCTATACCATTCAGCAGTGGGTCTATGGGTCGCTGGAGCATTTTCCCGTGTCAATATTTAGAGGGCTCACTACTCCCCATTTGAATCGAAAGGTTAATTGTAAAATATTTTGTTCCTTTATTTCTTCGTGAACTTTCGCACACATCCTGTTCCTCTCACTGAAACAGTTCCCTAGAGAAATTTTCCATTATCCATGCTTTCTCTTCTGGTGCAGTTGTGCAGTAGTTCACATACTACGCCAACAAGACCTTAGTGCTCCACTCTTCTCCACTCTTCTCATGTACTTTAAGATGCTTTCAGTAGAGCTCTGTTTATTTTCTCACCTTGAGATTCTGTATATAAACCTCACTTGTTTTTCTTTGATTTTTATCCAATTCCCATTATTACTTTTCTATCCACATTGTATTTGAATTATCCTGTACTTGGGTCTCTGTTCTGTTATTTCAGGCCTTTGACTTTCCTTCTTCCTGAAAGAGCTTTTGCTATTATCACTTTTTAAATGTATCACACTATTTTTATAAAATATTTTAGACATACGAAGGGAGAAATGGATATTTGCTCCCCCTTTTCATGTCAAGATTACTTCCATTTCTTTATATTACCAAAAAAAAAAGTTGTTTATCCTTCTTATAAATCTGAAAAATCATCCCAGGTTGTGAAAAGTATGTTTGCTATTTTCATAACATTATACTAAGGGAAGGTCTCATCTCCTTTGCAACATATGTATTTTATTCTTTCTTTCCCTTCTTCCCAACCAAGTCACTTCTGACTCACTTTCCTCTTTTGTTAAGATGTTTCAGGCTCTTAGAATGCAGAGCTTCATCGTAAGTACGCTTTGATCACTCTTCTTGTAAACTGATTGTAAACACTTGGCTTCAAATATTATTTTTGGTTACCTCCACTATTACCTTTCTTAAATGCATCTGAAATCCCCTCTCTATACCACTCACCTCAGATATGGGAAGAAACCCTGCATCCTTAAGTAGTTTTTCCTTGTACACTTCTCTTGTGGAGTATACACTTGCATAAATCTGGTCTTTACCTTTCCCAGTTTATATCAATTCCGTAATCACTTATCGTCCCCCACACTCCAGATCCCATAGACCTTGCAAACAACTAAACTGCATGTGAAAGATCTGTGGGTGTCTCATCCACCTCCTGTTGACTTCTGTGAAAAGCTCTTCACAAATAATACATTCCCTGTCTGATTTCAGGTTGTTTATGGTATTTCCAATGACTAAAATATTGCTGCTTTCCAAGCCCAGCACAAGCCTCTGGATTCTTTGGTTCACCTGAGTGAACCTGAGTATCACCTGAGTCCTGGCACCATTTCCTTTCACCTTCCCAACAGCCCCTCGTGGTAGATGTCGATAACCTTGTTTAACAAATGGGTGTTTTCAGTACAGAAAGAGTCACTCAGAAGAGAGGGGATGAGCAAGGTCTGATAGCAATGTCCAGAATTGGAATTAGTGGGTTAAAGAGGGTGAGGAGTTTGCCTAAGCTCACTGTGCTGGTGATATCAGAGTTGGCGTTAAACCTGGTTCTATCAGAACCAGCGTTGAGAGCATGAGCCTGCCGTGGGATTATCACTTTCTGGAACTTTCTGGAAGACACGTCAATTTCAGGCCCCCTGAAAACTCTGCTTTGATAACAGGATCAAAGACACTGGAATCTACTGTTGCTGAAATTTCTCGAGTCAAGGAGAAACTAGTGTCTTTGTGGACTGGTTTCATTTTCCCTGAAATGTGGGGTTTTGGCTCAGCTCCAGCATATCTGCATATGTTGGTAGATTTAAAAAAAAAAATCTGGTCACACTTTTACCCTTTAAAATTGCAAAAATGTCACCTCTGACTACCTGTCATTGATGGTAAGTAACACTCATTAAGTAAGCACAACTTTTCCCTCAATACCATTTGCCTTCTGTACCTTCTATAGAATGAAAGTTAAAGTATAACCCAAATAATAACCCTGCAATTACTACAGAAAAAAATACCAGCTATGCTAAATTGAAAGTGGGTATTTTTCACTTGGTATTATTATAGAATATATGTGTAGAATATAAAAATAATAATTTGCACTCATCCAACTTTTTTCATTCTGTGTCTCAAATCCCTGAGTGTAAGTGGTCTCATTAAGGTTACCAAACCAATTTAACTCTAGCATGTTCTTGAACTCTCTCTCCAAATCCAGTGAGGTTTTCCTGTCACAAATGCTGAACATTATCATCTGAAATTCTGAGTATTCTGTAGATATGTTTGACCTTCTGCAGATAAAACTCATTTACTTAATCATTTAGTTATGTACTAAAACAGAAAAAACCACCACCAAAAGAAAAACATTACTATGTTTATATAATTAAATCTAGACCCACATTCACAGACACACATACACAATAACTGAGTTTATGTGTAATTGGATTAATGCAAGAAGAGTTAGAAGAATGGGAACAAATATTTTATGTAGATCTATGGAAACAAAATCCATTGGTTTCTCAAGCTCCATTCATTTGGTTAGCAATGCCACTCAAATATTAATCGAGGACCCATAATATTTTAGGGACTATGGAGGATATAAAGATAAATTACCTATAGCAAATAAACAAATGCTCAACTAATTCCACTCTAAGGTAGAGTACGGTAAGCTCCATGAAGACAGGGGCAGTGTATGTGCCCCAGTGCCTAATATTGCAAACTGGTATACAGTGATGCCAATATGAGTTTGATAAATATATAATGGAAGAATAATGCCTTTAAGTTCTCTAGAATTTCAAAGGAAGCAGTGATTACTTCTATCTGGCATGACCCAGGACAAGAAAGTAATCTGAGTCTTAAGGGCTAGGGTAATGGTTAAAGGCGAGAATAACATGCTAGGTGGAGGCCAATATGTAAACACAAAGATAGAGAGGCAGGAAAGTACAAGACAGTCATTAGGAATAAGCAAATCATTCCAGTTTGGTAGTCCAGCACAGGAAATACACAAGGAAGAAGTGGTAGACAATGCTGAACCGTTAGGTTGAGGTCAGATTGCTAAAATCCAGGACTGCCAAGTTAAGGATTCCAGATTTCACTCTTAAAAGAAGCTCTAAATATGTGAATTTAGATTCTTATACACCAGCTTTACTACTTGCCGAGTAGTCATTATTCTTGATCCTGATTCTGAAACTGTCAAGGGGAGTCTTCAGAAGTAGTTCCTAATTATATTACCAGCTGCTGTCTAAGAAAGTACTCCAGGAAGAAGTCTGCAAAGTCCAGTGGCCCCAAAAGAGAAGATGAAGACTAAGGAAGTGGCAGAGACGTTCCTAAAAATAATTGATGTTGGACAGTTTTATCAGTTCCAAGTCTGCTGCTAGACACCTGTAATATTTAATGTGGTACTTTGAACACAGATTACTTTAGCTCTAGTCTGCAAAGACCTAACTTAATACACAAGTCTTGAAAGGTGAAAAGGACTCCAAGCCTCTTCAGAGAGCTCTAATGCACCATGAAATATAGCCTCTGTCTAGTGAGAGACGGATTCTTAGAGCAAAATGGTATAGAGTAGGGATCCTAGAAACACAAAGTTGTTCCATTTATTCACTACAAGTACAAATGACCATGAACTGTAGAGAAATGAAGGTACAAAATACATGCCTTAAGTAACCTACAATCAAGTGAAAAAAAATTACTCTTAAGTCCTAGGATATTTGTGTTATTTAGTTTCAGTTTCTCAATTACCTCATGAATTTAATATTACTATTTCCATTTTATAATTGGGAAAATTAAGTTGAAAGGTTTTAATTCATTTGCCCAAGCCAAACAAGTAGCAGAGCTTGGATCCAAACCCAATTTTGTGTAACTCCACAGTCCATACTCTTTCTCTTGCGCCATATTGCCTTAGAGGCCTTGTTTAGTGTATGGGAAACACTATAATATATTAGCTAAAAGCAGGATCCTTAGCATAAGACTGTCTAGGTTCTAGATCTTGGCTCCACTTTTTGTTAGCTCTGTGACATTATACTTGTTGCTAACTTTTTTGTGCCTCATTTTTCTCAATCATAAAATGGGGAAATCAGTATTAGAATAACTTTCCCTACTTACAACAACCTTACAGGGTTGTTGTGAGATTTAAATAAAATAATAAAGTGCTTAGAGGAATGGCAGGCACTTGGAAGACGCTTATTTAAATTAGCTGTTGTTTGTCAGTGAAACTTCATGACCACTGCAGTGATTTAGACAATTCAATCCACATCTTGATCTGAATGAACATCCAAAGTCTTCCCTCAACTAAAAAAAAAAAAAAAAAATTCTCTAAAAAATACCGTGCGGTAGTTTATTTGAACACAAGGTCTATACACAACAGTAACATGATAGCAAAAGTCACAAGAGCTGCATTGCTTTTTAGACAAGTCTAGTTCTAGTAACTTTCCTGACACTGATAAATTTGACTGATTAGCACTTTTGTTATCTGTTTCTTTCCTGCAGGTACAAACATCCAGATGAGATGATACATTGCTTTAGCTTACAAACTTACCCAAGAGTGGGGGAGATCCGTATCTGTATAAGAAGGCTTAAGTGGTGGGTGGTGAGTGCAGCGAGAACAGTTGTTCCAGGGTCCAGTTTGGGCAATTTGGAAATCAGCACATGTCCAGAGAGGGTTTTCTGGAAAAGTCTTCCAGCTGTTCCACATCTGAACTTCACCTTCATCGTGGGATAACATGTCGGCCAAGTTGCATCCAGTTGCAGTGCTGGATCTAGCCAGTGATGCCGAAATAGAATCCAATCCAATCTTCATTTCTTCCTTTCCTTTGGTGCTACCAGTACTAATTTTCTTTTCTTGGGATTTGGCTAATTTTATACAGGAAATCAACATTTCATCTTCATCTTCTGAATGACAAAGAAAAATAAGTAAGTCTAATAATTTTGCACATGTAGAAATTATGAATATTATATTTCCTTTTCTATAGTAGAAATGAGTGAACACCACAGGATAAAATGGGAAATCATTTAATTTAACAAAATAATTTATAACTGCAATTCTTTAAAGAGTGATCTTTTGTATAGTAAATGCTTTGTTTTGTAAAGATAAGTTTACCTAAAATATTTTGAAGCTGTATATAATGATTAAACTCAGTTTGACTACAATGACTGAAAGCCACATGCAAATAGTATACTGAAAGAAAGATTCAGAAAAATTACAATTTTAAGTTAAAAAAATTCCCCACATCTTATAGACATGATATGGTATGCTTATATTCTTAATATTTTTTTTTAATTTTTTGAGGTAATGTGTATAGACAGCATCATAAGGAAGTAGATGAAATATTCCCCTTTCATAAGAAAATGAAATCTCAGTGTGCATGGGCTGACATCCTATTGATTCTAATTTTTTTTTTTTCTGGTATCAATCTATAAAGAGATTTATGCATACCGTATTTGTCACAGTGAAATATTTTCGAAAAGGAAGATCAAGACAGAAAACAACAAAAAGAAGGTATATCTTTAATACTATGAAGTTGATTAGTGAGACCTATATTTACATGTGGTGAAGGGTCTGATGAAATTTCTGGTAATACATAAAACAGTGACAGAAATTAGAAATATGTATTACCCATAGTAAATTGTACTGTATCATTGAATCTCTTTCAGTTCAAATGTTTAACTGGTGTAAATGAAAGATTATGATCAATAGCATGTAATTGTGAATAAATAAATGAACATCTAAGTTGCACGTCAAAATTGAAAGACACTGCTTTCCGTGGCCAAAGAATGGGGATAGTGTACAGTGCTGGTCCTGACTATCTCTTTCTCCCACTCTATCCCTGAGTCTGGTCTTGCAGGGAAGAAGATATGGGGTATATAAAGTAAAATTCAGGAATAGGTTAAGGATATCTGTTTCACAAATAAATTGGTAATTTAAAAACCCTCAACGTTTAATGATTATTTTATGGCCTTATCAAAATGGACTTCATTTCATATACACTACCCCAGTTCTTTCTCAAAGAACTTTTAGCAGCATTTTGACTGCTGACTTACGGAGATTTATGAATGTAGGTTTCATCTCCTTCAGACTCGGCACCCTGGCTTTCTTGGTCTGGACCTTTTGCTGTAGTCTCTTTAACGTCCCCATTGATTCCACTGGGTCACCACCTGATTTTACGGCCTAGCACAAACACAGCTCAAGGTAAAGACAAATTCTTCTTCACAAAAGGCTAAATATAAGATGTGTCGAGATCATAAATGTGGGAAAATTCATAATGTGACCTTAAAACCCGTAGCCTGGGACAATTTAAGCAATAACTTGAAAGCAGACCATTTTTGGTCTCAGACATGTAAAATATACTACAACCGGCCAGTCATACTAAAGCAGGGAGTTTTTCACCTTTTTTTTTTTTAACTTCAACATGCAGCAAAACGGATTGAATCTGGAACCATCTATAAATGAGTTGCTCATGCTCAATGTGAAATAGTGGAAAGGAACAAGGTCTTTGCAGGATAACAAAGAAGGAACAAGAGGTTTAAAGTTGCTACTTGCAAGTGTGGGAACAGACGGCATGCACACACAAAAAAGCAAAAATCAGATTTTCTTCATTTTTCCTTGTGGAAATTTCTGATACAACAGCATTTTATTTCTGTTTTCAAATAATATACTCTTCTTTATACAGCCTTTTGCTTTTTAGAAGATAGACACTGAGCAAAAAAACAAAACAGAAGAGCCATGGCATTCTGTATTATGCTTTAGTTAGTATATAAGTGTCACTGGTTTATTATAGCAAAAAATTTGGATAGAATTAATACTGCTTAATGACTCGAAATTTCTTTGAAAGATACAGAAAAGCTTCCCACTAGTTTAATGTTAGCAAATTTGTATTTATACTGTTTTTATTTATTATATTTAGGATAGCTTTCTCAGAACAATTTCAAAATATTTTGGAAATTAATACTTTATGTGCTAAATTTAAAATTGGTAAAGTAGTTGTATTCTGTGCTGTTAACTAGATATGAAGCAATATATAGGGGAATACTTCTCTTTCATCCAGAAATCTCTGGACGCAGAAATATTCCTCCCTCTGCTTTTGCCTTATTCTTTCCATTGAGCAGCTGATAGATGACATCTAAATAGATACTGCAGTTTTCAAAAGGTGAATGACCTGTTTCCTCATTATTGTTTGAATGAGATATATTGCTAATAGTGCTTTCCAATCCTTTGAGAGGAAATAAGCCCAAAGAAATGTTTGCGAGAAAAAGATCTCTGGCATACAAACATTTCCAATCATTATTTTCAGCACTTATTCTTGGTCTTTAAGAATGACTTTGAGCAACCCATATAAACTTGATGTTCTGTCTTTGCATAATAGCACCTGAGTTGGAAATGTGATGTTTTGTCAGAGCAAGCCATCCCTGTTTGCATTAAATAAATGGGAAAATATTGAAATCATTTTAATCTTTCAGGGAGGCCTGTGATGAGATTTTCTTAGATATGCAAAAATCTTCCCTCTCTTTCCAAAGGTTCATGCTCAGCTCAACACAATTTCTATTGCTATTTATTTTTGTATTATTTTCTCCTGTATTCCTTTTCAGTATTTTCTGAGTTACTCGGCTTTATAGGCCCTGTAACTCAAGAAGAGTCATTTTCTAATCTTAAGGCCCTTCCAGAAATAATAAGCTGACATTGCACAACCATTGAGCACGATAATTCTCTTTGTTGTACTTCTTTTCATATGGCAACCTCCTCCTATTACAGCCAGATGCTTAATTGCTCCACTGAAACACTGGCATCAAAAATAGCCTTCTCCGTCCCCCTTCTTTGTGAAAATGACTTTCACTTGATATGGGGAAAGGTGTTATATACCAGGGTAACTGAATTTCGTATTAATGATTTGCCCCTAGAAGGAATGAAAGCATTTGTATGGTGTCTAAATTCATATAAGTGAGAGCTCATGTCCCAGAGGTGTTAAAACAAACGGACCTCTCATTATTTTGTTCAAACTGTATTATAGTCTTTTCAAAGAACAGTCTCGTTAACTTTTGTATCTTTAATCACTCACAGATCTTTGAGTTAATAGAGATCAATCTATTGCATTTTATTCATTTTTTAATCCCATTATGTCTAGGATAGTACATGGCTTGATAAATGTTTGCTGAATATAAATACACTCTTGAGTTCATACATAGGTTTTATCCACCAAATGGATTATCCATAGTAAATTTTTTACACTGGACTATTTTCTTTTTTTTTTTTAAGATTTTATTTATTTATTTGAGAGAGAGAGAGCACGAATGGGGAGGAGAGGCAGAGGGAGAGGAAGAAGCAGGCTCCCCACTCAGCAGGGAGCCCGATGTGGGGCTCGATCCCAGGACTCTAGGATCATGGCCTGAGCCAAAGGCAGGCACTTAACTGACTGAGCCACCCGGCCACCCTAGACTGACTACTTTCTAATAGCAAAGTACTTCCAAAAAACCTTCTCTTGCTATTAGGTAGTACATACCTGAGGGATGAAAGTTAGAGTAGGTATTATGATAAGAGATAATAGAATCATTAAGATTATCTATTAAAAAGAAATCCTTTATAATATTTTCCAAATTATAATGTTATTTATAGTCCCCTAATCTGTTACCTGTATATTTGTGCTGAATTTGATTAAAACTTATAATAATGTGCCTTGTAATTTCTAGATGTTTTCTAAGAAGACTGACTCATAAATTGAACTCACCATCCAACCAATAAACGAAATTTTATTGAGCACCCTACTGTATGCCAAGCACTGTCACACATTCTGAGGATATGGCATTGAACAAGTAAAATGAGACCCCTGATTTCGTATGGTCTACATTCTAGAGGGAAGTGACATATAAACATATAAACACATACATAAACAAGAAAATGTGATATCTGCTATGCTAACAGTTAACAGCATGCTGAGTGTGGATGGGGGAGGATTACTAATTTACACTGGGTGGTGTTCGGGGATGGTTTCACTACAGATACTGAAGCTGAGCCTGAATTATAAGAAGGAACCGGATGTGAAGATTTGGAGATGGCTTTGAATTCAGTGGATGGTCAGGGAGGTCATTTCCAGAACTAAGATCTGAATAACAGAGAAGTGTCAGCCCAGCGACTAGCAGGGGGAAGAGAATTCCTGTGAGTGTAGGGCTTGTGCAAAGGTTCCAAAGCTGAAGATCCTGGAAGAATTCTTAGCATGCCCAAGGAAGAGAACAGAGGGAAGAGGGTTGTAAGATCAGCCAGAGACCTGATGAGGGGCCCTCAAGGAGGCTTTTGTAGAACAAGGTGAGGAACATGTATTTGTTCTAATATTCTTCTTCCCACTTTATTGAATTTTGATCATCTTACTTTTTAAAGGGCTTTTCCCAAAAGCATTCAAAATATGTTCTGATCTTATCCATCTTTAATTCACCATATTTTATTTACCACTCTTTCTGCTCCCTTTCCCGGGCATGCTTCTCAGAAAAGTTAACCGTGTATGCTTCCTTTAATTCCTCTAATTTCTCATCTTTCAACTCCCCTCACGTACTTGTCAATCAGCTTTTGCCTCCACTATTCCATTTAGATTGCTTTTGTTTTCCAATGAACTATTTTCAGATTCCATTATTGCTTGATATGCAGCAATACTGACCATGATGATCTGCAGGAAACAATTTCTTTTCTTGGCCTCTGTGACACATATTTTCTGGTTTTCCTTTCACCCTTTCTGGCTGTTCTTTCTCTAACTCCTATATTCTGATAACTCCTTTTCTCTCAAAACTAAATGCTTAAATTCCTTTACAGCTAGCTCTGGGTCCTCATCTAATATTACCATCATTCTTTTCTCACTTACACACACACACACACACTTTTTAAGGCCACTTACACACTGATGATTC